TAGGGACACTGGCCAGCTCAGTTCATTTGCTCCAAATCTGAAGGCCTTTCGTGGAGGCCTGTGGGTTGTTTATAGAGCAGGCATGAATCTCAAATCCTAACATGTTGCTTGCTTCTGTGAATGGAAGCTGCCAGCTTGGCCTACCACCATCCCTTCTCAGGAAAGCGTGTTTGTACCCAGACAGCCCTGTTCTCAGCACCAGGAATCTACTGTAACAAAGCCTCCCTTAGGCTGTTTGGTTGGCAGACAATGAAGGATGGGTTGATATTGCTTCCTACCCAGGAGGAGGTCTTGCCCAGATGAAAAAAGGAAGAAACTGCCTTATGAGGAAGATCAGAGCTAAGGAGGGGAAACGACAAAGGAGTGGATCTAGAAAGGCAGATTTAATGAACTGTTAGAATCTGATTAGAGGCTAATGCTCCTTTTAGTGCTTTGTACCAATTTACAGCTGATATACTTTAACCATTCTCCCACTGGTTGTGATAAACTCATTAGTTTTAAAAAGCAAGCTAACCAGACTCTTTCAAGTTAAAAATTGATAGATCACAGAAACCTGACATGTTCCCCATTCCATTTAGTACATTAAAATCTCACTGCATTTTCATGGTGGTTTTGTTGCTGTTCTTGAAATAATTCTGCATGTGGTAAAGTCGAATGTACATCTCAGGAGAAAGTGAACACGATAAAATGCATTCGTAACTTTTTTATAAAAATCAAGTTTTTCTTAGAAAAATTTCTTTATACATGATATTCCAAAATTCCTCAGAGACACAAATTATGTAACTAAGAATGTTCACAGCTAGGGCACCAAAAAACCTTAACTGCTAAATTCAGTCTATATACCTGAAAGTTATAATGTTAATACATGCTAAGCATATTAATCTCTGCATTCATGATTTGAACCCTGTTTAGCATAAACACTGAGCATCACAGTATGTTTTAAACCACCCAGGAAAGAACATGTAATCAGACAGTATTGAAGAGGCAGTCCTGGCAAAAGAATCTCCACATATTTCTCTTATATGCTCTCTGATCAGATACATACAATCAATGAAAACCACAAACTTGAAATATGTAATAGGCTCTAATCATTTGGAATTGCTGTCACACATAGCTTGCCATGATCGTAATCAAAATACATTTGCTCTGGAATCAATAGTTCAATTGATTCCCAAGAGGTAAATAAAATTACACAGTCATCAATTTTAGCATTATGATACTCTGCATTTTTATGGTCATTTGATACTAAACAACCATCAGAATTATATTTCATGTATATTTGTATGGCTGCATATGTTTACAGATTTACACTCATATGTTTTTATACATTGGCATAGTGGTTTACATGTTGAGGTACTAAACACAAAGGAGCTCTGGTAGCGTAGTGGTTACGAATCGGGCTGCGAACCTAAAGGTCAGCGGTTCGAAACTACCAGCCGCTCCGCGGGAGAAAGATGA